GTTGGCGCAGGATAGAGCAGGGTTTAGAGCTGTTGTGCATAGGGTCGCTATGAGTCGGAAACGACTCGATGGCACATAACAACAACAACAACAACATGGGAATGATCACAATATGAGGATATGAGATACAGTGTGAATAGAAGGAATGTGTGAAATGCAACGCGCATTGATGAAACAATGTATACAAATTTTGTATGCAAACCAATATAAAACAAAAACAAATTATTTTTAAAAGTAAATTTTGGGTTTTGTTTTTTTTTTTCAAATTATCATATCTAAGACTTTTAGGAAAATGTTAAAATGATGAGGTTGACATGTATTCTCCTTTTCATTTGCAGATGATCTTTTCATTTCAACAGTATTAGGAAAAAGTCTTTCCGGGAAGTCTATAAATCCTCTGGTGTTAATCCAACATCTCTAGACTCTGGAAAACATGCACTCTCAGTTGTTACTGCCACCATATCTAACTTTAACTATCACAGAGAATCTGGAAATACACTTTGTTGTCTAACAAAGGAATTATGAAACCATGAACAGGTGAGACAGATGACAGGATGAGCGCACATCTTTATAAGGAAGAATGAATTTTATCATGTGTCCCAGTCCCGTCTTCTACCCCAGGAGACCCTGACACATACCGGGGTGATGACTGTAGCCACTCCTACAGGCTGCTTGAGGACCAGGCTCCTCTTATCTGTCGCTGAAGTATAGATGATATCACCGTATATGCGGCGGGCTTCCTCTGAAAACCACTCTAGGAAAAATGCAGAATACAAAATTTCCCCCTGGGCCTCCTTCAGTGGCTTTCCCTATATTAAATCAGAAAAAGACAAAAATACCACATTAACACCCAAAATTAAGTTCCTAGGTAATGCAGATGGTTAACACATTTGTATGCTATAAGGTTGAAATCAACGTAATTACATTTGAAAAAATATTCATTATTGCACATTTTATTGCACATTTCCCCCCTTCCCTCCCCTCCACTATTCCCCACAATGCCCCCTCATTCTAAACTGTTCTCATTCATATAATGTATAATCATATATTCATTTCAAACAGTCTTCCCTTCATCTGTTCCAATTCAGTGTTCATTATCTATCAACTCCTTCCCCATTCCCTCTCCAACACTCCCCACCCCATGTCGGACCTGTTTTAGAACAGCAGTGCTATACAGTATTTATCCTTTCATGACCGAGATGTTTCACTTAACATAAAGTCCTCAAGGCTCCCACATATTGTGTAATGTTTTATTATTTGTTTTTCCATTGTGTGGATGTACTATAGTTTTTCTGTTCATTTATTTATTGATGGGCACTTGGGTTGCTTCCATCTCTTCACTATTGTGAAAAATGCTGCAATAAACATGGATGTGCATTCATCTGTTTGAACTGTGGCTCTGGTTTCTTTAGAGTATATTCTTAGCAGTGGAATTGCTGGGTCAAAGGGTATTTCTATTTCCAACTTTCTGAGATAGTGCCAGACCACCTTCCATAGTGGTTGTACCAATTTATATTCTCACCAGCAATAAGTAAGAGTTCCAATCTCTCTGCAGCCTTGCTAGCATTTGTTGCTTGCTGCCCTGTTGAACTTTGCTATTGTTACTGGGGTGAGATAGTATTTCATAGTTGTTCTGATTTACATCTCTCTAATCTAGTGATTTTGAACATTTCTTCATGTGTCTGTTTGCCATCTGAATGGCCTCCTTGGTGAAGTGTCTATTCTCTGTGCCCATTTTGTGATTGGATTGCTTATATTTTTCTTGTCAAGGTTCTGGAGTATTATATAAATTTCAGCTATAAGTCCCTTATCAGATATATCATTGACAAATATTTTTTCCCAGTCTGTGATTTTCCTTCTTACCCTGCTGGAGTTTTTTTGATATGCACAGGGATTTGGTTCTTAGAAGGTCCCATTCATCTATTTTATTCTCTCTTGGTTGTATGTTTTACATTATACTTTGAAGATTGCTCATGCTGTGGATTAGAACTTTCAGAATTTTCGTAGCTTTTCTCTGATGAATTTTATCATTTTTGGTTTGATTTCTAGGTGCCTGCTCCACCTTGAGTTGGTTTTTGTATATGGTGTGAGGTGTGAATTTTGCTTAAGTTTTCTGCAGATGGTTTTTCCAATTATGCCAACACCATTTGTTAAAGAGACTGTCCTTTTTCCACTTAACTAATCCCATCTCCTTTTTAAATATCAGTTGACCACAGGTGGATGAGATTATTTCTGGGTTCTCAATTCTATTCTAATGAAAATCCTGGCCAACAGAATCCAATAGTACATCGTGATAAAGTGGGATTCATAACAGGTATGCAAGGATGGTTCAACATAAAAAAAACCCCATTAATGTAATTCATCACATTAACAAAGAACAAGAACCACATGATCTTATAAATTGGTACATAAAAGACCTTTGACAATAAAACAGCTCTTACTGTTTAAAACACTCAACAAAACAGGAAAACAGGGTGGTTTTTTTTCAAAATAGTTAAAAACATATATGCAAAACAAAGAGCCAACATCATTCTCAATGGAGAGAGATTAAAGGCATTTTTCTTGAGAATAGGAACTAGGTGAGGATGCCCACTTTCACCTCTCCTATTCAATATACTACTGGAAGTATTGGGAAAGTCTGCTGTCAGAGACATCTCCAAGGTACTGAGGAGCAACAGTGTCAGTCTGGAGACTAAGGTGTGCCTGATACAGGCCATGTTCTTTGCCATTACTTGCTTAGCTTCAAAGAGATGGACAATTACTAGGTATGACAGAAGAAGAGTTGATGCCTTTGAGCTTTGGTGCTGGAGAAGAGTACTAAATATAGCATAGACTGCCAGGAGAACAAACAAGTTCGTCCTGGAGAGGGTGAAGTCAGGCTGCTCCTTGGAGGCAGGGATTCTGAAGCTTTGACTGACATACTTTGGACATGTTACAAGGAATGACCAATCCTTGGAGAGGGCCATCATGCTTGGGAGGGTAGAGGGACAGCACAAGAGAGGAAGACCCTCAATGAGATGTATGAGGATGGGTGTTTCAGAGACAGTGAGATTGGCAAGGATAGAGCAGGATTTAGGGCTATTGTACACAGTGTCACTATGAGTCGCAAACAACTCGGCAGCACATAACAACAACAACAACAACACCTGGAAGTATTAGCAAGAGCAATAACACAAGACAAGGAAATAAGAGGTATCTAAATCAGCAAAAAGGAGGTAAAACTATCTCTGTATGCAGATGATATGAGAGCATAGTTAGAAAATGCTGCAAGTAGACTATTGGTCATAGTCATTCAATTCAGCAGAGTTGTTGCTGTTATTGTTTTTAGGTGTCATTGAGTGGAGCACAACTCAAGGTGACCTTATGAACAAAAGATCTGAACCCTGCGACATCCTCACACTTCCTGACACATAAGAGCCCATTGTAGCAGTCATCATATCAATCCACCTGGTTGAGGGTGGTCTTCCTCTCCTTTGCTGACCCTCCACTCTTCCCAACATCATGTCCTTCTCCAAGGAATAGCCCTTCCTAGCAACATGTACATTTCATATTCCAGTTGTTAAATGATGTCTAATACTGATCTTCCTCATTTCAATTGACTTCTAATCTGGGCCCTAATCCTACACTAATATAACTATCCTCTTTGTTTAGTGTTCATAGGGTTTTCAAAGATCTGTTATTTAGGAAGTAGATGGCCCATCCTGCTTCCTAGTCTGTTTTAATCAGGAAGCTCCACCAAAACCTGCCCATGAAGGGAAACCCTTTTGGCATTTGACACACAAGTAGCACAGATTTCATTATCACAGCAACCTCTAGTAATCTTAGGACAGCAAACTGAGAGACAAGTGCTGCACCACTTAGAATAAAGTTCTCTCCAAACACAATTAATACCCAAAACATTTATCCTCCAGGATCCAACTGTGCCAAGCTAAAGGCTCACCCTCAAGCAGGACCCAATCAACTGTTAAACACAAAGGCCCATCCACCAGATCCTATTTGCTTACACAAAGGGCTTCCCATCCACAGCTGATCTTAAAGAAAATCAGAGACAGTTAATAAACTTCCCATCCACAAGTGATTGTAAACTAAATCAGAGACAGTTAATCAGCTTACAAGTAAATAAAAAAAAACACCCTTCAGGATCCAACTGTGCTAAGCTAAAGGCTCACGGGGTACAAAATCAACACACAAAAATCAGATTTCTCTACAGTGACAAAGAGAATATAGAAATGGACCTAAGAAAAACAATACAATTTACAATAGCTAACCAAAAGATGAAATACTTCATTGACTATGCAAAGGCTTTTGACTATGTGGATCACAACAAGCTATGGCTGACTCTGAGAAGAATGGGAATCCCAGAACACTTGATCATTCTAATGTGAAACCTATACTTGGACCAAGAGGCAGTCGTCAGAACAGAGCAAGGAGACACTACATGGTTCAAAATCAAGAAGGGGGTCCATCAGGTATGTATTTTGTCTCCATACCTTTTCAATCTGTATGCAGAACAGATCATCTGAGATGCAGGGCTGTATGAGGAGGAATGTGGCATCAGGATTTGTGGAAGAATCATCAACAACCTGTGTTATGCTGATGACACAACCCTGCTTGTTGAAACTGAGGAGGAACTGAAGCACTTGCTGCAGAAGATCAAGGACTACAGCCTCCTATATGTACTGAAGCTCAACATCAGGAAAACAAAAATTCTCAAAACTGGGCCAATTGGCAGCATCAGTTTGGATGGTGAAGATATTGAGATAGTTAACAGTTTTCGTTTACTTGGTTCCACAGTTAACTCTCTTGGTAACAGCAGCCAGGAAAACAAGGGACGAATTGCACTGGAAATGTCAGCTGTGAGGGACCTCTCAAGAGTACTGAAGAGCAACGATGTCAGGCTAGAGACTAAGGTGTGCCTGATTCAGGCTGTAGTCTTCACAATTATGTGCTATGCATCAGAGAGTTAAACAGTAAATAAGGATGATAGAAAGAGAATTGATGCCTTTGAGCTGTAGTGATAAGAGTGTGGAGCATACCATGACTGCTAGGAGAACAAACAGGTTTGTCCTGGAGAGGGTGAAGTCAGAATGCTTCTTAGAGTCAAGGATTCTTGCAACATGCCCAAAGTATGTCAGACGAAGCTTCAGACCATTTCAGGTGGGTTTTCTTATATTTTCTCCTGTTCTCAATCTAAATGTGCAAATATAAATGCAATAACTTTAATAAGTTCTTTCTATTATTCATAAATATGTTCTATCCAAGTCTGTTTTATCCCCTACTGGTAACCTATAACCACTCCAGTCTGAAGATTGTGTCCTTAAAACATGGAGAGAGTTTAGTTAGAAGAAAAGTGAACTCTGAAGTACTTTTAGTCAGCTCCACTGCCCTCAAGTCTGCAGACCTTAAGATATGGATTCATCACACACACACACACACTTAAAAAAGTACCCTCAGAACAATGGACTCATATTCTGATGCCAACTTGTGGTCCAAGTGGTATTAAGCTTTTCTCTCTTACGAAGAGTTGGAAATTCTGAACTAATCCTTTTTATTACCAAAATGAGTAAGTCTGAATGTACTTGACAGAATTCTGTTTAGCATTCTGATTTCCACTTAGAAGTGAGCTATGAATATTAAAACCTTCAGACACTAACATTATTAGTCAAGTTCCTGCCAGTTATCCAATTACATAAGCTCTTGACCCTGAAGTCAAAGCTGACATAGAAGTCAGGCTGATCAGACAACTGTGGGAAGAATATGAAAGTATAAACCTGTAGCTTACCTGTAGAAAGTGTAAAAGATAAAAAAA